ACTCTGGCTTTCTCTCAATTGTTGGAGTCTTTCTTCTTGTTTGTTTTCTTTCTCTTCCATCCACTGCTGTAGTCTCTCTTTTTGTTCATTTTCTTTCTCCTCCAACCACTGCTGTAGTCTCTCTTCTAATTTATTTTCTCGGACTGATTACAGCAGATGTTAGAGGAAAAAGAAAAGAAACAAAGAGAGAGTGCAACAGTGGCAGCTCGAAGAGCAAAATAAAAGAGAGATTACAGTAGTTGTTGAAGGAAAAAAGAAAAGAAACAGGAAGAACGAGAAAAGAAAGAAGAAGAGAGATTACAGCAGTTGTTGGAGGAAAAAGAAAAGAACAAGAAGACTTCTTGTTTCTTTTCTTTTTCCTCCAGCAACTGCTGTAATCTCTCTTCTTGTTTCTTTTCTTTTTCTTCCAGCAACTGCTGTAATCTCTCTTCTTGTTTCTTTTCTTTTTCTTCCAGCAACTGCTGTAATCTCTTTTGTTTATTTTGCTGTTCGTGCTGCTGCTGTTGCAGGTTTTCTTGCCACTACCGTTGTCTCTCTTATTGCTTCTTTTCTCATTCTTCTTGTTTTTTTTTGCTGTTCTTGTATTGCTGCCATCAAATCTGCTAAGCTGTAGTTTGATTTGCCACTTCTCGTTTCCATCTTCTTTTTCTTTTCTGTCCCACTTTCTGACACCAATTTGTTGCATATCTGCTTGTTTGTTAATTTTCGGTATATATTCTTTCTGAGGAACTTCAGCGGTGCAAGTTACTTCTTGATTAAAACTAGTTTATTTTTTCTCGATACAACTTTTTAATACACAGAATTTCCACAGTTACTTTAAACTTAACAACCTATATAACATGCTATAAATCACAGTGATTCATACACTTTACTTACAGCGCCTACTGTTCGCTTGACTCAATTATCTATCTCTTCAATCCTGCTGTTTTTTCTCGCCAGACTTATATACTATAAAAAAACAAGACGGCTAGCTAACACTCGAACATTCACGTGGTTCCTTGATAATTCGAGAAACTCCAGCTCACATGCTCCCAGCGTCAAGCGACTTCCGCTGTCGTAACAATACTGTACACGTGTACAGAAATTTGTAAATGCAAGATGTGTAATGAATTATCATTTGATTCATGATAAGTATTTGAAAGCTTACACCTGGACATTTATATCAGGTACTAGCTCAATCACTAACTTAAATCTTGATTTCATTTTGCTCAGGTAGAAAAATATATTATTTGTTGCACGATGTCTTTATATTTTTCAAATGAATTTTCATTCCATGAAAATAGGGGTAAGTGCACATTGCTTTTATGTCTATCTTGAACAAGTGGTATATGTACTTCACCTAAATTTCCAGCACTACAAATACTTCAAAACTTTATGTATTAACAAAAAAATAACAAAACTTGGTTTTTTTTCAGAAGTAGAATTGTTCATTTCTGTTCTCCAAACATATAGGCATGAAAATACAACTTACCATTTTCTCTTTTGATTCATGGTTTTGATATATATCATGGCTTGTGCTAACCATGGCTTTATCAAAAAGATTCAATACTTGTTGTGGCCTTGCAAGAAGTTCTTCTCCTATATCCACACTTTTCTCAAACAAGCTCATTGCACTAAATAAAAAAACGTATAAAAGAAAAGTGACCAATAATAAGTCAGTCAGCCATCCATCAGAACTAAAAGTTTTTGTTTACATTTTTACACATTCTCATTTATGTTGACCTGTATGTTAATTAACGTTCCAAGGTGTAGAAGATTAAGACATTATACCTAACTACCATTTTAATCTGTAACAGAATATTTACTTTTCTATACTCAATACCAGATCACTTTTCAATAGGTAGATTGCCTTGATCAGAAGTTAATACAAGTTACACCAAGTATGGTTAGCTTTCTCAATGTTCATTGTTTATAGAGTAAATAACAAGAAATAAACTTATCATAATCAGTAGAAAACTATTGCATTTGTACATATATTGTTATAGTTAAAGATTTGAAACTTTTGAATACCATAGTTACCACTTTTGTATCAAATCAATTACATATTTTTCACTAACATGTTTCCTTTTCCCTTCCATACTCTATTAAATAGACTTTTTAGAAAATGCTGAAATTATTTCAATCCGTAAAAGACAAAGTTTTGCATTTTCCAAAAAGTCTTTACTTAATAGATAATTTTTACCTCATCAACATTTATAATGTTTTGTAATCTAAGTTTGGAATGATTGACAAATCCACTCATAGAAGAGAAATTCATCAAAAAGTGACTGATACGCATTGTAATCAGTTCTTTTCTATAACCAAAATATTATAAGATGGGGAAATCACCCACGCCTCACTGATCAAAGGCTAATCATATCACCGTCCTTCTAGAACATTCTATGTCTTTCTCTTACCTCTGCAATACTAAAAACCAGAATATCCATACTGAGATGGAAGGAACCAGCATATCATAAGGATCAATGTTTCACCAAATGTGGGGTTCAGACCATGACAATCAAAGGAAATTAATGGCAAAGCTTTAAAAAAAAACAGTAGAATTATG